CTCAGTTCCATCTATGGCATTTGAAATCTACAACCACTGTATAAGATGCGCCCAGTTTTTAGACCCAAAAATTTTCAAAAGAAGGTGCGTCTTATACATGGGGAAATATGGTAAGTTGGACTTCAGTTACTCAAGATGGACAAACCACTACTATCCTTATGTTTTTGAGGCCCTTTAGTTTCTTTTAGTGTAGAAGGAACCCATCAGAAAGCCCCTTTTAAAGGTAAGGAATTTCTAATAGAAAAGTACAATTTCTTATAACTTGATCATTTGCTATGTTTATTAGGTATAGAGATATGACCTATGTATCATTTATTTTAGGTGAAAAAGGTTATGATCCGAAATGCTTCCATCATCGAGTCCATCGAATCAAGATTGATGATCACAATGTCCCCTCTCTGAGGTAAGTTTTATGCTAATTTGGTTGTCAAAAGAGGGCTAAATACATTGGGCTTGATTTTTTTTTTTTTGGAATATTTTAAGTCAACTAAAAATCTTACATTTCAAATTAGCGAGATGCTGGAATTTTCTAAGGAAGTCCTTAAGTGGATGACTCAAGATCTTGAAAACATCGTAGTGATTCACTGTAAAGGAGGCAAAGGTAAAAATATTTTTTTCTTTTATTTCTCTTTTTCTAAAGAAATTTGAAAAAAAATATTAAAGTACAAGAACCAGCAGTACGTATAATGTTATTAATCAGTATTAATAGTTAACATTTTAAAATGTTAACTTCAAGACTGAAGGAAAACAAGGAAACAAGGAAGAGGGAGGGAAAGATGGAGAGATGAAGGAAAGAAAGAAAATAGGCTTAAAAGAACTAAGGAAAAAAAACACTAAGGAAGGTTCAGCATGTTTTCCTTTCTTTACTGACTATTTGGGTTTTTTCATTTTTGATTTGCCAAAATATCTGTCAAAATACAAACTGTGTTTAACTTTAGAAACTGTCAGAGCACTTTAGTTTTAGTTAAGATTTTTCTTAAACTTTGTAAGAAATTAAAAGGTTAAGTGAGCCAAGAGTGATGCTATTTCATAAACCAAAAATTGCACTAAAATTTTTATAGTGTAATGATACAAAGAAGTTGATTTTGGTGGAGATGAAATTCTAAGTTGAGTTAGATTTTCCCATTTATCTTTAGGTTTTTAATAATTATCTAAGCAAAATTCACAATTTTTGACAAAGTATTACATTTTTGGTGGCTGTAAAACAGTTTTTCATATTGAATTTCAGGAAAAAAACAACACTTTAACACTGACTTATATAATTGAGTAGAATCAAGTTTGTGTCTTACATGAAAATTAGTTTCAAGCCCATTAGTAGTAGGCAAATTCTATTTTTAATTCCACAGGTTGAAATATTCTGTATATATTGGCAAATTACAAAACCATGGATAAATGGAGACTATAGAGTTTGAACTATATAGAACTGTCAGATTTTGACTATTTTTTACTTACAAAAATGGCTATTTCACGTGCCTCAACCTATGATACTATGTAGTGTAAATAATTGGCTTCAGTTTCCTTTTAGTTAAAGCTAATTCCCTGCTTGAAGGAAATCATTCATGTCAAATTCTTTTTTTTGGTTGAGGGGAGGCCTTATATTTTTCTGTGTTCACATGATTTTTGTTGATTTTCCTTTAGGATTGTTTGGAAGTCTGATATTGAATTAGTATGCACCAGAGCAGCATCTTTTTTTCATGTTTTCATTTATATTGGTTTTGCTTTCATTGTTTGGTGCCTGCACATGACCAGTAGTATGATAGTCAAAATATTTTATTATTGATTTATAGAACTTATTTAAATAATCTGGATGCTAATTTTTTTGCTAGTAGCTTATATTGCAAATATTTTATCCCACTGTTGTCTTTTAAATTTGATTATGATTTATTTTGTCATATAGAAGTTTGTAATATACATTGTGAAATTTATCAATCTTTTTTTGTACGTTACTCATGCTTTTCTGTCACATTTAAGAAATCAATCTGGGGCCGGCTGAGTGGCGCGATGGTTAAGAACTGGCTTGGGACGCCACAGGGCCTCGGTTCGGATCCCACATATGAGGGCCAGTGATACTGCCCTCCACTGCTAAGATGCTGAACAACAGCTCAACCTGGAGCTGGGCTGCCATGAGTCACAGGTGGCGGTGGCGTAGGCTGCAGCCCCTGTGGCAGTGGGTTGCCATGGGCTACNATATATATATTTACAGTTGACATTCAGTATTATTCAGCTTCAGCTTCAGGTGTACAGTGCAATGGTCAGGCATCTACACTATCCATGAAGTGGTCTCCCTTACAAGACAAGTGTCCATCTGATACCCTAGAAAATCTTTACAACATTATTATTATTGATTATATTCCCTGAACTATCTTTCATATCCCCATGGCAATATTGTGGTTACCAATTTGTGCTTTCTAATCTCCTCACCTTCTCCCTCATCCCCACCCCATCCCATGTAGCAACCATCAGTTTTTTCTCTATGTCTCTGAGACTGTTTCTGATTAGTTTGCTCATTTATTCTGTTCTTTAGATTCTACATATAAGTGAGATCATATGGTATTTGTCTTTCTCCTTCTGACTTATTTCACTTAACATAATATTCTCTAGGTCCATCCATATTGTTGCAAATGGTAAGATTTCATTCTTCTTTATAGCAGAGTAATACTCCATTGTATAAATATACCACAATTTCTTAATCTAGTCGTCTACTGATGGGCATTTCAGTTGTTTCCAGGTCTTGGTTATTGTAAATAATGCTGCAGTAAGCATAAGGGTTCATATATTTTTTTGAATTAGCATTTTGGATTTCTCTGGATAGATACCTAAGAGTGGAATTGCTGGGTCATAAGGTAGTTCCATTTCCAGTTTTTTGAGATACCTCCATACTGATTTCCATGTAGCTGCATCAATCTGCTGTCCCATCAACAGTGCACCAGGGTTCCCTTTTCCCCACAACCTCACCAGCACTTGTTGTTTGTTGATTTATTGATGATAGCCATTGTGGAGTGAGGTGGTATTTCACTGTTGTTTTTATTTGCATTTCTCTAATGATTAGTGAGATTGAGCATTTTTTCATATGTCTGTTGGCTAAAGGTGATTTTAAAAGTTCCTGAAGTTAAACCATTCAGGGACATTAAAATTCCCATAAAAAAGCAAATACTATCCTTATATGTGGGTATACTAAAGAAGGCTGCACATACATTAACCACAGTGAAATGTTTACTTGTTGAGAGAATGAAGGTTTCAGGACAGTAGTCTAATGATTTCATGATATTTCATTAGTGCTGTAATTAACATCTAATGTTGGATATTTAGGTGTCGTGATTATCAACACAGCAAAGCAGACATAAAGACACAGGCATAACGCTTTTTCTATTGTAGATAGATTACTAGGAGTGAAATTCTCTGGTTTAAAGAGTATGAATATTTTTTAGGGTCCTTACTATATATCGCCAAATCCAAGGGATTGTACCAGCAATAAATCAAAGGTCTTATTTTCATGCCATATTTGCCAGCATTGGATTTTCTCATTAAAAAGGAAAGGGCTAATTTAATGAGTGAAAATGGCACATCGTGTTGTTTTGACTTCTGTATTGGAAAGGGTGAATATCTATGGAGATTGTTAAGTCAGTTGGATTTTTTCTTTTGTGAATTCATTTATGTCTTTGGCCCATTTATCTATAGGATGATGGAGTATAATTCACATTATTATTAATGAATTATTAGTTTATATTAGTATAGCTAGCTTATACATTATAATAGGCATAATCCCCATCCATTCAAAATCTTCTCCCCTGTTATATGTTATACTGTGGCATTTTAAAAATAGAAATTTCAAATTTTTATGGAGTCAAACCTACTCTGTTGATCTTCCATTGATTTAACACTTAGTTCTTCCTCATCCTAAGAACTGACTAATGTTCACTTAAATTTCTTAGAGGTATTTGTGGCTTTTTATATTTGATTCCTCAGTCCATCTGGATTTTATTTTGGTGTAAGGCATCCATAAATTTTTTATGTATATAAGACTATTTGATGTATATACGAGTACTGTGCAGGCTCAGAATGTTTATCTTTTTGACTTAGTATTTCCTGTTGATAGGGATAACCAATTAACAAATTGATCAGTTTGATACCTTGATTTTTCTCACTATTAAGCCAGTAAACATTGCCCTGAGGGTATTATACTAATCAATTTTTGAGCTTTTTTATAGTCATGTTTGTTATTGCACTGAGACACATGCATGCGTGTGTGTGTGTGTGTGTGTGTGTGTGTGTGTGTGTGTGTGTTTCAAATGGATAATTTTGCTGGAAATGTATTAGTGTGGTGATATTAACTGTATTTTCAATAATAACCACTATTTCTTATTTTACAAGTTATGTATGTATACACATTGTATGTATATACATATACATATATACACATACACATTCATTTAAAAAAAATAAGAAAACACAGATGGGCTTTAAAAAAGTCTCCATATTGCCACCACTTATCTAAAATTTGATACAATGTGTTTATCTTTTTCTGTCATGCATATACACACACACACACAATCATACCATATATTTTTTTTACATTTAGTTATTTAAATAGTGCTTAGGTAGATTGTAATATCCAGATCATTATCTAAAAGGCATATCTAATCAGAATTAGGTCTAGATAAGAACCATATATGACTGTGAATTAATAATTCGGAACAAATTTACTTAAACTAGTTAACCATTTAATTTCCTTAAGCCATGTATATTTATAGTAGAGACGAATCGGAGTAGCCAAGCACAACTTGGTGGGTTACTTGAAAACCATCAGTGGGTTGGCTGTGACTTGGAAAGTACATAGCCTCATGTTACTTGAATCTCCCCTAAAAGGTGCTAAATGAGGAACCAGTGAATAAAAGGTGATAATCATTTTAAGTTACTCCTAGAAAATAGGTTGTGTTGGCACCATGTGTGTATATATAAGGTATGTGTGTCCATCTTTCTTAGGAAGTTGTGCGGTTCCTGGATACCAAGCATAGAAACCACTATCAAGTCTACAATCTATGCAGTACGTATGTGACTAGATACTTTGCTACTATAGATAGAAAACAGATCACTGCATATAAGAAGATGATTCAGTTTTTATATTTCATTTAATCATAAGTATTTGGTGGTGGTGGTGCTGGGAAGTGAGTTAAAACATCTCCATCTTGCGCTAGCCCTATTTGGTAGGAAAAGATACTTCACCAGCACAAAGTGCCCTGTGAGGGAGGCAGGAGGCTAGGGTGAAGATGGAGCCATTTTAGGAAGAGTCTACTCTAATGGTATTAGGTAAAAAAATTTCTTCTTGCCAGCTTGTGTTTTGAAGACAATTCAACAAATGTGTTCTCTAACCCACAAGGAGTGGTGTGTGAGGAGAGCAGGGCCCTGCATGAAAATAAAACAAAACCCTGTAGAACAGATTATATTCCAGCTTACTACTCTGTCTCTCTTGATTTTTCCTCTTTGTATATATCAAATAAACATTTTCAGAAGGCAAGCATTATTGTTGGCCACATTTAATTCTGCTCTGAGATTTCTAACTACCCTACCATAATGTAATGAGTAGTCTGCTAGAAAAGTAAA